ATTTATTGATTCTGCTTTTGATTTTTGAAGAAATCTCAAAGACAACAAAGTACTTTACTTTGTTGAGTGAAAAATGTCTCCAAGATATTGTCTACCTTACTAAGTCACCCTGAGGTCTAGCAAGGTTAATCCAAAATAAATAGCAAATCTCTTTAGGACACACAAAAAGCCTAAACATTTCATACATCCATCTTACTCAGAAACAACTGGTGGTCATTATAACTACAGACAAAAATAATATAAACGTGAGTTTGAGAATCAGGGAACAAATTTATTGGAAAAAGAAGCCATCAATTGATGCTTCCAGAGGAATTTGGGATAGTTTAATTTGGTCATTTATTCAGATTAAGTGGTTATTTACAGATAATCTTCACCTCCAGTGAGCTGCTGAGTCAGCTGAACTCAACTCACTCTTGAACTAAAGGTTCAGATCATCAGATGGGTTTGAAGAAAGGTAAGGGTGAGTAAATCAGTAAATTTTCATTTCTGTCTGAACTATTCCTTTAAAGGCAGCTCTGTGGATCCGGAAAGATTTCACAACCCTGACCACAAATACTCTAACAACAGTGCAATAAATTCTGTACAACTGCAACCTTGATACATGCTATTTCAACTCCAATTTTCCCTCTTGTGAGCAGTATATAGTTTCCATGTTGGAAACAGGCTCGTTCCCTCTCTTCGAATGGTGTCTCCAGTGGAGGAGGTTAAGCCCAGGGTAATAGGCCTATATGTCAATACTTTGAGGAAAAATGCAATATTTCATTAGTTGAGGGGTCTGCAGTGCATCTGTCTTTGGAGAACACATACACATTCACACATACAGGCAACATCCCCAAATAATTTGGCCAATTTCCACTACAAAATTAATGTAATATGTAAATCAAGATGATGAAAGCTCAAATTGCATATCTGCTAAACCAATCATTTTTGTCCTGCTGTAGGCTATGGAATATTTTCACGAAGTTAAAGGAAAAACAATGAGAATGAGATACAATACTCTATAATATTATGTTAAATATAAAGCTTCTTTTAAACATTAAATTTATAAATACCTATACTTACTCACAGAGCTGGGTAGTTACTGATTCCAAATTACATGACAAAAATTGTAGTCAGTAACGTAATCCACTACATTACACATTATAGGTAATGTAATCAGACCTGTCCTAACTCGTTTATCACATTGATTTAAATAGGAAAATCTTGTACCATAATGATGTAAAAATACAAAGAGTAAGAAAATATATTCCATTCATTGTAATTAACAACATGAAGTGTATTAAACATTACATCAAGGTTTTCCAAACTGGAGTTCGTAAAGGAACTGCAGGGAGTTTGTGAGTTTAATGAAAAGCTAACAATTAAATCATAAATCACGTAAAATTAAAATAAATAATTTTAAAATAACAATCAAATTAAAACACCTAAAAAAAGTAAATGTTTTATGTTTACCTGCATGCCATATGACCATTAACCAATGTCAGAGAACTGTGAACACGCATATGTGATACTTAGTTATTAAAATATTTATTTTTAAATCTCAGGGGTACTTAAAGGAGTCCTTGATTATGATTTCACTTTTTTAACTTCAGTTAATGTGTAACGCTTATTTTGTTTACTGTGTGGAGACGTGCTGATATCGTGTTTGGTCTCGTTCTGTATCGCGTATCTTGTCAGTGTCTGCGCTTGCTTGGCCATTTGTTGTGGAAAAAAATAAAGAAAGTGTGTCCAGCTGAATTAATTTAGTATTTTGTTAGACGGGTATAAAAAAAGCTTAGTTTACCGCGGTAGCGGTCGCGTGACGGCCTCCTCGTGTGAAGACCGAAGAGTGTAAAGACCATGGACTCTACCGTGCGACTCCACCGGGCAGGGACAAGTATCAAAGGATAAGTATCGCTTTTTATTTCTCCTCTTTCCTACTACTTGTTTCACTTCTGTTTCAGTTTTTATAACCATTTCTTACTATGTGTAAGTAAGTTGTTGTTTTTTAGCATGTAAGTTTGGCAGTGTTCTTTTTTTAGGATTACTGATAAACTACTGTCATTTGATTTGTATTATTTGTATTTGTTATTTATTTTAATTTTAGTTAAATTATGTCTGAATTTATCATGTCTGTATAGGTATTTTATTAAGTTTTAGTTTTATTTAATTATTTTAATACTTCAACAAACTAAATGGAAATGAAATAATATATATATTGAATTTATAAATGTGTATGTCTATATATATATTTATGTATGTGTGTATGGTTGTACATACACATATGTAGTTGTTTTTTTGGTGTTTGGCTTAGTGTTATGTTAGAATCATTATCATACTCTTATACCTTTTGTTCTTTAATATTTTGAATTGTTTTTAGCTTTATTTTTTGTTTTTCATTTAAATGTTAAGTTTTGAAATTTTGTTGTATGCATTTGTCATTTTTATTTAATTACTTTATTTTTAAAATGTGTATAAGTAGTATCCTTAAAAAGCTTCATCCTTCATGAACCCTAAAATGTAAATTTTCAAATGCTGTGTAGCCTCCTGACTTATGACTGATCTCTGTGTGAATGTCCACAAAACTGGACTTTGAGTGTATATAAGTGGCAGACTATTTTAGAAAGGAAAATGTCAAAGATGAAAAAGAGGAATTCGAGTAATAATCAATAATTTATTGATATTGTTGAATAATATGTAATCATGTAATCTATAAAACAAGTAACTGTAGTCTGATTACTAGTATTTTAAAATATACTCCAATTACAAGTAGGCTACTTAATTTTTGGAATCTGATTATGTAGCCTAATCCAAATTAGGCTAGGCCTAGGCCTACTTGTAATCAGTTAGCTCTGCTTCTACAGTGAGACTCCCAGAAGGAGCCACATAAGGCTCTTTTATAACCATTAAACATTTATTTTGTAATTATTTATACAAATTATTAATACTTAGTACCGCCTCAACACCACGACTGAATCTACAGAGTGACCGATGTCATTCCATTTTTTTAACGAATCACAAACATACAGCGCAAACAATGTAGTCTTATTACCAAATGAACAATTTTAATGATACATTCCCTTTTAGTGAGTCAAAAAACATAGCCTACCGCACTGAATCAAAGACATTTCTTTTTTTCAGGCTTTTAGTAAATCGCTTTCGAATAAACTTTCTTTAAAAGGGGTCATATGATGCTTTTTTAAAGATAATTATTTTGTGTATTTGGTGTAAGAGGATATGTTGACATGCTTTAATGTTCAAAAAACACAATGTTTTTCAAATACTGTACATTACTGTGCTTCTCCATTAATGCAGAGAAAATCAGCAAAAGGTGTCTAGAAAAATTTAAATCAGAGAAATTGTCTAAGATGGATTATGATGATAAAAGAAAACCAATAAAATAACTCTACTCTGTAGTGTCTTTTTGTTTCCTGTTACACTTTTGTTCTTTATTGATATGATCATTTTCGTATAGTAACTTGTGCCAGTTTAAAACAGTCCAAAGCTGTATTTGAGGTAAAATAACTATGATACAGATAACTTTGTGATTTCCCTTAATTTTTTTATTTAATCTTTTGCAAATAAGGCCTAAACTGACTGGTTAGCTTCACTACAGTACAGGTGACTAGGTTGATACTTCAAATGTGGCTACTGTTGTGAAAATAGAAACAAAAGACAATCATTGCTACATATCTGAATTTTTGAGTTGTCACGAGTGTTGTTTTCATGACTGCAATTGTATCACAAGCACAGAGGGAAAAGTATGAAAAGAAAACTGATGATATCAATGACATTTCCCCCTTAATGGCAACAATGACAGAATATGGCCTGGGTATAGAATTCAAAGCACCAAAACGTTTAACTACAGTCGTTTAACACACAGTCGTTTAAGCTTATTTGTTGAGAATGCAAGTTTACAGCTAATTTAGAAATGTTTACAAGTTCTGTATCTTCATCATTGGCTGATACACCCCTGATATGAAATATTTTTTTCTTATTTTATTTAAATAAAGCTTTATAATTATTCTTTTCCAAATGTATTAACAAAATAATTCTCTGGATAAAATATCCCATAATTAAAAATACTTTTTTTCTATGAAATGTTGCAATCTAAAAGAAGATTTCATAGATTTAGTTCTAGTACGTGGACACAAAGGAGAAAAAAAGTAGTCTGTACTTCCAAAATTCTGTAGTTATAAAGCAAAGCTAATTGCGACAACCATTAGACAGGGTTGTATTAAAGGAGAAATAAGACGTGGCACACTGCAGCTCCTACTTTATGAGAAAATATCTGTTAGTTCTGTTAGTGTCTCAGAATATCCTGGAAGGTTTCTCTACCGGTATAAAAAAAAAATCAAATTCTCAAACCTCTTGTACAGTACACGACAAATCAATGACAGTTCAGAATAAAGGCTGAAATATTATGTCAATCATCTATAAATATACAGATGAGCAATGAACCACTGCTGCTTTCTCGCAGTCATTTTATCTATATCCCAGAGATTGAGATATAAATCAGTATGACATTACATTAATCCCTAAATATAATTCTATCATAATTTAAATAAAATGGCCCCGTATTTATGCCTCAGTCTGTTCTTTCAAAACTCGGCTGTACACAAATAGTGCTTCATTAGATTAGATTGTCCAGTTTCTCCACTTACAGGAAAGAGCTCAAACTGTGTATACAGTGATGTAAAACTGCAAATTTCAACAAATCCCACACATTTTGTACACTTACTGAACAGAGCACATACTCAACAAATTCAAGTGAAGGTGGACATACATTTTACGTGGAGATGTGACATGTTCTGGTGTTTTATTGCATGCTGTACAAAGGATGAAGAAACTGAATTATGGCCACAGTGAAAGAGCGTTCTTCAGAGACGGATGACCAAAAATCGATCTTTTCACAGCATGTCACCTTCCCTTCAGTGGCACAGTGTAGGCTTGACAAATCTAGCTAATTCCTATGAGTTTTGAACTCAGAGAAGACCTCCAACTCTGAGGAGTTTCACTTTAAAAGTGAATCCATTCTTCTTCAAATGAACAGTACACTTGATTTTAAGGGTATTCACAGAATACATTGAGATTGAGGTCCTCATTTCTTATGCAGTCACAGAAATCTTCCATGTTGGTTGGTTAAGTAAATATACATGATGACACCTGAAAATTGTGACAAAAATACACAACCCAATTTGGGTCTTTGAAGAAAAGGCAAACTAAACACGGGTAAAAAGGATTAAATTAGTTTTCGTAACAGTTGTTGGAATGCTGTTTGACAGTTTGAGATTCAGACAGCATGAAGATTCTGAAAAACACACATACTGTACGTTCCATTACATTTCACTAAACTAAAACTGGATAACTTTGTCCACTTGCCTTGTTATTTAACAGTACATCCAGGTTGTATATTTCAAGGTATAATTACCCAAATTAAGAGCAAAAGAACTGATGGTTTTGCAAACCAGTCTACTAGAACCATGTTCATAACAGTTCTAGCTTTCTTTTTCTCAGAAATCTTTCCCCTTGCACACCCTGCTAAGAATGGCCATGGTGCGATTGTCCTTAGAGAAGCATCCACATATTTGTGTAAATTTGTGATGGATGATGGAAATAGAATTTTCTATATTAAAAAGTTACCTTTCAATACCTTGTTGAAGAACTAATTTCACCTTCTCATTTTGTGAGCATACAAGTGTGCGATTATGATGAAAATCATAGCTCTCAATGATAAAACGTAATACAAAAGGAGTTTAAAGAAATCAATGTGTTTTTTCAAATCACAAACATCAGGGGTTAAAACTAAGATAGATCATAATGTATACAGCACTCTCATACAGTTCAAATAGAATGTTTTTGTATTATAAAATATTTATAATTTTGCTAAGTGGTAAAAAAAATGATTATACCACTAAGAGGAGCGATCATCGTGTGGACTTCCATCTGAGTTCTCAGTCTCTCCCTCTGATATGGCCTGCATTGGGGCAGTGTACAGCCGACTCCGCGTGCTATAGCGACTGCTGTTTGCCGCAGGTGGAATTCTGGAACGTCCCTGTCTGGAGGCAGCTGACATGGTAAGTGTTTTTGGGGAGAATCCTTCACTGGAGGGGAATTGGCTTGGAAGTGGATCTCCACTGCTAGTGGACTCCTGGAGGGGTAAGGGGGGCTCCTCTGTTTGCCTTGCAGCCTCTAATAGCAGCTCTTCTTGAGTCTTGGGTGTGATGGGGCTCTTGAGGATCTCCGTAGCAGACATGCGGTAACTTGAGTCTGAGCGACTACCCTTCTTTAGCAGCAGGAGTTTGAACTCCTCACTGGATGTACTGGACTTTTTGGCACTCCTGTAGATGGGTCCTGAGGCTCGCTGAGAGCTGTTTGAAGGGACTGAGGCAGCAGGGGTGACCGGGCATACAGTAGGATAGCTGACTGGGGCGGTTGCAGGTGCTACTCCAGGCCGACTTTTTCCACTCATCTCCCCCGAGTCTTTACGTCCCAGCACTTTCCTTTTAGATCTGCAATCATTTGGTTGACAATCATTTGGTGTATTTCGGTCACATAAAAGTTTCAATGATTGCATGAAATATCATCCTAACACCTGAAAATTGTGACAAAAATACACAACCCAATTTGGGTCTTTGAAGAAAAGGCAAACTAAACACGGGTAATGATTGCATGAAATATCATCTAATGTCACATCATAAGACACATAGAATGAAAATGTGGCACTTGAATGTGAAACAGTCATGCTTACCTGTGTATCATGGCAAACAGATCTTCAGTTGTGCGTAGTTTGTTGGGGGATGGGAAAGCATTATCATCATCAGGTTTAGAGTCATCAGTCAAAGGAGAGGTTGAATTGTCACTGGGAGTTGATTCTGTCAACATGCAAAGCATTCATACATCAAGCTCAATTAGCTCTTGAAATAAAGCTATGCATTCAACAGCTTGGCACCTGCCTTCATGTTGAGGCTGACCAATATGTCAGTTTTACTGACTGATCTGCTCCAATAATTCCTATAGTACAGTTGGAATAGTGGCCGGTAGAGGTGAAATAAAAACAATCACCAACTCTGCATGGTGTCATGTGACTATGTTATGCACAGGATTGGGGAGTAATGAATACATGTAATGTCGTTACGTATTTAAAACAAAATATGAGTAACTGTATTATGTTGTAGTTACATTTTAAGTGATTACTTTTCAATTAAATTAATTTATTTAATTTAATATTAAAGTAAAATATTTGTCTGTAAAAGTTATTGTTTTTCTATATTTGTAACATATGGTTGTCATGACTGCTAAGGTGAGGAGCGAGGAGACATAGGAGTTACACCACATAAGAGTCTTTAATAAACCAAATCACAGGAAAAACAGGGCACGCAGGAGACACACATAGCACCAATTGACGTATAACACCGGACAGGAAACAAGAGGCAGAATACACATTCAATTCTGAACTAAACGAGGGAATTAATGAGACACACCTGAGATCAATCAAACACAATCAGAACAGTAACAGGAAGATAACCAAATAAGGGCATGTCACACACGAGGGAATACTAGGTCAATGGGAGCACATGGGGAGCAAAACACACACAGACAGTCCATATTTCTGACATATCGCCCCTCCCGGAAGGTGCGTCCTCGTGCTGAAGTAACAACAGAAGGAGGGACGGGTGGGAACTTGGGAGGAGGCTCAGGAGGGGGATGGACAACTGGGAGAGGGCCGGCAGACAGAGTCCAGGGAGGTGACGATGGAGGGAGGAGCCAAGGAGGAAACAGGAGGAGCCAGTGCGGATCAGACGGAGGGAGGAGCCAGGGAGAAGACAGGAGGGACTTGGAGCATGCGGCACCATGTGGGACCCACGGTGGAGCCGACGGAGGGAGGAGCCATTGTGAAGGAAGGGCTGACGACTCCAGGGGGTCGACCAACGGCGGCGGAGCAGGTGGCGGAGGAGGCGGAGACGGAGAGCCAATGAGCCAGGGTGACGAGGAGGATCTGGAGGGCTCGAGGTAGAAATGATGGCTCTGGCGATCGATGCGGAGACAGGGATCCGGAAGGCTGCGGTGGAGCCGGAGCGACAGAGGACCAAGGTGGAGCCGAAGAGAAGGAGGAGCATGACAGAGCCAGAGGGACGGGGTGCAGCTGGAGGAGTGGAGTCCCGAGGCGACGGATGGTCGACGACAGACCAAGGCGGAGCCGGAGGGATAAGGGAGCCCGTTGGAGCCAGTAGACTGATGGGCCATGGCGGAGAGGAGGGAGCTAGGAGCCACGGTGGAGCCGATGGGCCGAGGCGGAGTCTGGGATTCAGAGGCTGGAGGCGGAGGTCAGGGATTCTTCCGCCACGGTGACGATGGAGACTGGCAGACCCGCGGAGCTCACACCATACCGATGGTGGGCTGAGGGCGAGCAGAGGGGCTGTCAGACGACAGTGGTGGAGGAGGCAGGAGCGGGAGGGTGGGCGTGCATTTCTGAGCCTCCGGGCTCTCAGGGCTGCACTTGGGAACAGAAGCCCTCTCTGGGCTGGACAGGGAAACAGGAGCCCCCTCTGGACTGGACGGGGAACAGGGCTAAACTCAGGAATGGGAGGGACAGAAGTCACAGACGGAGGAGGGAGGAGAGGGGGCAGGTCGGTATACAAGTCAATAAGGTCTCCTTCCTCTTTCCATTTACCCAGATCAATTCTCAGCTCACCCTCAGCCACAGTGCAGGGGGTGGAGCTCCTCTCCGTGCTCTCTCTGTCCACGGCTTTCTACCTTGTGGCGGGCGTTGTAGCCAGCTCTCACACCTAGTCTGATGATCCATGAGGCTCTGGCTCCATGGCGATCCTCAGCTCTGTCGCACTCCTAGGCAATGGCTCGTCGGTCGCGACGGGCTCTGGCTCTCCATCAGTGGTGGGCTCAGGCTCAGGCTCTTGCTCCACGCAGCAGGGTGATGGTGGGCTGGGCTCTGGGTCTGGCTGTGTTCTGGATCGGGGAAGACGCTCTCCAGACACCGGATGATTGCCTCCCTCCCATGTTTCCATGGGGGAAACACGGGAAACAAAAAAAAACACTGTACAAAACACGGAAACAAAAACTAAACTTCTTTGTAGGTCCGGTGGTCTGTCACGACTGCTACGGTGAGGAGCGAGGAGACGTAGGAGTTACACCACACAAGAGTCTTTAATAATCCAAATCACAGGGAAAAAAGGGCACGCAGGAGACACACATAGCACCAATTGCCGTATAAAACCGGACCGGAAACAAGAGGCAGAACACACTTTAAATACTGAACTAAACGAGGGAATTAATGAGACACACCTGAGATCAATCAATCGGAACCGGAACAGGAAGATAACCAAATAAGGGCATGTCACACACGAGGGAAAATTAGGTCAATGGGAGCACATAGGGAGCAAAACACACACAGACAGTCCATATTCCTGACAATGGTATAGTTAAAGAAATAGTTCATCCAAAAATGAAAATTTTGTCATCATTTACTCACCCTCATGTTGTTCCAAACCTGTATAAGTTTCATTCTTATGTTGAACACAAAAAAATATATTTTGAAGAACCAAACAGTTGTTGGTCCCCATTGACTTCCATAGGGAAATAAATACTATGGAAGTCAATGGGGACCATCAAGTGTTTGATTACCAGCATTTTTCAAAATACCTTCTTTTACAATATGTCCAACTTAAGAAAGAAACACATACAGGTTTGGAACGACATGTGGGTGAGTAAATGATGACAACATTTTCAGTTTTGGGTGAACTATCCCTTTAAGCAATATCTTTTGAAGAAGAAGAGTGCTGCTTTCCTGAATATTAGCACAATTCCAAAATGTCATACTGATTATATCCAATTCAAAAACAATAAGTTAATATTAAGTGACACATTAAAAAACAGCCTGAATAGCCCTCCTTGTTGGCAGAAGCAATTTAGAGTAGCTACACCCACCAATGTCTGGACATTACAAAAGATGGATGTTTAAGAACAGTAGCAGTGGTGTACGGAGTAAGACATGCGATCAATCCGAGTTCGGTTTCCATCTTTTGCCGAACTAGTTCTACTACCGCTCTTCTCCCTTTTATTATCACATATCAGATCAGAAAGGCATTTATTTTCAATTAAAAAAAATTAAGTAAATATTCGAAAAGTGGAAATAAAGTGCCTCTCGGGTTCTTAATAATGAAGTGTTGATTGGGTATAGTGGTAGAGTTAGGTGTAGGGAGGGCACCCAATAAGGCAGCATCCATTAATAAATTTAAGTAATTATAATTTACATTTAAAATGCATACTGTTTCAGAATGTACTACAACAATATCTGCCACTATTTGAAGTAAGTATAAATAAAGCATCTAATTACTATTACACTTATTGCAAAGAAAATACTACCTTTTTACCTAGTAGGACCAAGGTGGAGCCGAAGAGAAGGAGGAGCATGACAGAGCCAGAGGGACGGGGTGCAGCTGGAGGAGTGGAGTCCCGAGGCGACGGATGGTCGACGACAGACCAAGGCAGAGCCGGAGGGATAAGGGAGCCCGTTGGAGCCAGTAGACTGATGGGCCATGGCGGAGAGGAGGGAGCTAGGAACCACGGTGGAGCCGATGGGCCGAGGCGGAGTCTGGGATTCAGAGGCTGGAGGCGGAGGCCAGGGATTCTTCCGCCACGGTGACGATGGAGACTGGCAGACCCGCGGAGCTCACACCATACCGATGGTGGGCTGAGGGCGAGCAGAGGGGCTGTCAGACGACAGTGGTGGAGGAGGCAGGAGCGGGAGGGTGGGCGTGCATTTCTGAGCCTCCGGGCTCTCAGGGCTGCACTTGGGAACAGAAGCCCTCTCTGGGCTGGACAGGGAAACAGGAGCCCCCTCTGGACTGGACGGGGAACAGGGCTAAACTCAGGAATGGGAGGGACAGAAGTCACAGACGGAGGAGGGAGGAGAGGGGGCAGGTCGGTATACAAGTCAATAAGGTCTCCTTCCTCTTTCCATTTACCCAGATCAATTCTCAGCTCACCCTCAGCCACAGTGCAGGGGGTGGAGCTCCTCTCCGTGCTCTCTCTGTCCACGGCTTTCTACCTTGTGGCGGGCGTTGTAGCCAGCTCTCACACCTAGTCTGATGATCCATGAGGCTCTGGCTCCATGGCGATCCTCAGCTCTGTCGCACTCCTAGGCAATGGCTCGTCGGTCGCGACGGGCTCTGGCTCTCCATCAGTGGTGGGCTCAGGCTCAGGCTCTTGCTCCACGCAGCAGGGTGATGGTGGGCTGGGCTCTGGGTCTGGCTGTGTTCTGGATCGGGAAAGACGCTCTCCAGACACCGGATGATTGCCTCCCTCCCATGTTTCCATGGGGGAAACACGGGAAACAAAAAAAAACACTGTACAAAACACGGAAACAAAAACTAAACTTCTTTGTAGGTCCGGTGGTCTGTCACGACTGCTACGGTGAGGAGCGAGGAGACGTAGGAGTTACACCACACAAGAGTCTTTAATAATCCAAATCACAGGGAAAAAAGGGCACGCAGGAGACACACATAGCACCAATTGCCGTATAAAACCGGACCGGAAACAAGAGGCAGAACACACTTTAAATACTGAACTAAACGAGGGAATTAATGAGACACACCTGAGATCAATCAATCGGAACCGGAACAGGAAGATAACCAAATAAGGGCATGTCACACACGAGGGAAAATTAGGTCAATGGGAGCACATAGGGAGCAAAACACACACAGACAGTCCATATTCCTGACAATGGTATAGTTAAAGAAATAGTTCATCCAAAAATGAAAATTTTGTCATCATTTACTCACCCTCATGTTGTTCCAAACCTGTATAAGTTTCATTCTTATGTTGAACACAAAAAAATATATTTTGAAGAACCAAACAGTTGTTGGTCCCCATTGACTTCCATAGGGAAATAAATACTATGGAAGTCAATGGGGACCATCAAGTGTTTGATTACCAGCATTTTTCAAAATACCTTCTTTTACAATATGTCCAACTTAAGAAAGAAACACATACAGGTTTGGAACGACATGTGGGTGAGTAAATGATGACAACATTTTCAGTTTTGGGTGAACTATCCCTTTAAGCAATATCTTTTGAAGAAGAAGAGTGCTGCTTTCCTGAATATTAGCACAATTCCAAAATGTCATACTGATTATATCCAATTCAAAAACAATAAGTTAATATTAAGTGACACATTAAAAAACAGCCTGAATAGCCCTCCTTGTTGGCAGAAGCAATTTAGAGTAGCTACACCCACCAATGTCTGGACATTACAAAAGATGGATGTTTAAGAACAGTAGCAGTGGTGTACGGAGTAAGACATGCGATCAATCCGAGTTCGGTTTCCATCTTTTGCCGAACTAGTTCTACTACCGCTCTTCTCCCTTTTATTATCACATATCAGATCAGAAAGGCATTTATTTTCAATTAAAAAAAATTAAGTAAATATTCGAAAAGTGGAAATAAAGTGCCTCTCGGGTTCTTAATAATGAAGTGTTGATTGGGTATAGTGGTAGAGTTAGGTGTAGGGAGGGCACCCAATAAGGCAGCATCCATTAATAAATTTAAGTAATTATAATTTACATTTAAAATGCATACTGTTTCAGAATGTACTACAACAATATCTGCCACTATTTGAAGTAAGTATAAATAAAGCATCTAATTACTATTACACTTATTGCAAAGAAAATACTACCTTTTTACCTAGTGTAAATAGAATCTATGGCTATCTGCACTTAGTGTAAGTTGCATAGCGACAGATGCTATTTACACAGTGTAAGTGCCATGTACAGGTGCATCTCAATAAATTAGAATGTCATGGAACAGTTCATTTATTTCAGTAATTCAACTCAAATTGTGAAACTTGTATATTAAATAAATTCAGTGCACACAGACTGAAGTAGTTTAAGTCTTTGGTTCTTTTAATTGTGATGATTTTGGCTCACATTTAACAAAAACCCACCAATTCACTATCTCAACAAATTAGAATATGGTGACATGCCAATCAGCTAATCAACTCAAAACACCTGCAAAGGTTTCCTGAGCCTTCAAAATGGTCTCTCAGTTTGGTTCATTTGCACATAATGCAAATAACTACTGCCTTTGAGATAAATACACAGAAGACTTGAATGTCTGTGAGCAACCTAGTGCTGTTTGGTGAATGAATCCACGCTTCAAACGAATTGGTTTAGCGAATGAAATCAATTACGTTCATAAATCACTTGTTCAATTCCTTGAAGAAATTGGTCCTTTAGAACAAATCAAATGATTCCATGACTCATTCATTAAGAATGTAATATTTGCCGCCACCTACTGGTGGTTTTAGTTTCATATTTAAAACATAATTTATTGCCCTCCCCATCATTTTATATTTCAGTGTTCAAAATGTTATATTTAAAAAGATAATTGCATAATATTATTTATGCATTTATAAGTTACTAAACTTGAGAAACCTAACAAAATATGTTACAAAATACGTTTTAAAGCATGTATTTTGTAATCTGTAGTGAAAGTAACCTTCCCAAAGTAACCTGTGAGCAACCTAGTAGTTTGCGGGGAAGTCGTGGCCTAATGGTTAGAGATACTCGGACTTGTAACCCAAAGGTTGTGGGTTCGAGTCTCGTACCGGCAGGTATTGTAGGTGGGGGCAGTGAATGTACAGCACTCTCTCCCACCTTCAATACCACGATTGAGGTGCCCTTGAGCAAGGCACTGAACCCCCAAATGGCTGCCCACTGCTCAACCACTGCTCCGGGTGTGTGTTCACGATGTGTGTGTGCACTTAGGATGGGTTAAACGCAGAGCACTAATTCCTAGTATGGGTAACCATACTTGGCCACATGTCACGTCACTTTCTTTTCACTTTCAACCCTGGTTATGCACAGAGTCATGCTTGAGAAGCTGATTTAAAACACTGACAGAAAAAAAACGAGGTATGTTTACAGTACTTGTTATCATTACCTACAGTCATGGTAAAATAAATCACATTTGTTAAGTAAATGTTTTTTACAGGACAATTACCTTTGCTGAAGTAGTCCTCTGTGTCCGGGGTCGACCCTTCTTCTTCTTCCCTTATGTCCTGTGAGGCACTTCTGGTTGTGACACCTGATGTCTCATAATCCTCTTCTCGGCCTTGTACATCGCTGATTGTGTAAGTGTGCGATGCCTCTTGAGTTGAAACAGGCACTTTGTCAGGGCTGTTGCACAGTACAAAATTGCTCCTCTGTATATCACTGTAAGCTGGGGGCAGCATTGTGCTGGCCGAACACATGGGCTGTGCTGAAGGGTCTGACCATGATAGCTGATTTAGATCTTGTTTTAGTCTCTCTGGTGACAATGTCAGTTGCACATCTGGGTACTTTCTGATGTCTTGTTCTTGCTCAGGACCTTGAGATGACCTTGTCGAAGAGTCTTCTTTTTCAGGAGTAGGGCCTACAGGAGTTCTGAAAGCAGTCATTGCCCAGTAAGTACCAGGACCAAGCCTCTCCTGTCTCACTTTCACTTCCTCCTGGGGAAGAACAACATTTTCCACCGGTGGTACCTGTGATTCACAGATCTGTGCCGCAGGGGGTTTGTAGGCTGGTGGTTTCCTGTTGTGCCTGTTGCTAGAGGATGGGGCATCAGTTATTACTGTGGGACACTTGGGACGAGTTACTGGATTTGCACTGACCAGATCATACCCTTGGTTCCCTTCAGCTAATCTACAAATAGATCGCAGTTGGACTGATCTAAGAACAGTTGGAGTGATGGCCAAATGGGCTGAGCTGGGTACTGTGCTTGTTGCACTCTCTGAAGTAGAAGCTGCAGTGCGAGCCTCTGCAGCAGCGGCGGCAGCTGCAGTGCGAGCTTCTGCAGCCGCAGCCGCAGCTATGGCGGCTTTCTGCTTATTCTGGTGGAGGATGTGCATCTGATTTCTGTGAGAAAAGTGCTTGCTGTGAAGAGCACTTAGGTCAAGGTGACTGGGGGGTATGGCATGGAAGTCAGTTTCCCTCCTGGAGGAAATGCCTGGGTCTCGGACTGAAAGCTGTGGCTGTTGTAGGGAACAAAGTGAGGACTTCCTTTCAGGGACTTTGGGTTTCCTTTTGCCACTGGTTGGAGACAGGGGCCCTGGGAAGAAAGCGGAGGGGAAGGAAGATGTAGGTGTTTCCGACTGACTAGAATATCCACTGGAAGGGGATGCCAAGCTCACCAACTTTTCAGGGGAAACCAGCTTGAAGTCACCTTCAGGTGGAGGAAGAGTTGGAGAAGTAGGTCTGGACCTGGGTTGACAGGCTTGCATTTCTGCACATTCTGGTGACTTGATGCATTCAATAACAGTTGTACCCATAGCAGTGCTAGAGTTGGACAGAGGCCGGTAAGGGTCATTTGATTTCAAGTCATTGTGGAGCCAGAGGTCTGCATAGTCAGCTTGCACAGCACCTTCATCCTTGAACGAATGTGTGTCTGAGGAACTGAATGGAGAGGAGCAGTCAAGCATGTCCCTGACATTCTCCACTCCCCATGCGCCAAGTGACTCAAGACCTGCAGTGTCAAGGTGCCCTGCAGAATCAGCCAAGTCCAGCTGCAGTTTCATCTCCCTGGAAGACAAGGGCAGCGGCAACTCACAAGTAATCTTTGGTTCGTCCTGCTCTAGAATGTTCACACCACTGCTTGTTTCCTTTAATGAAGAGCTACGTTTTGGTGGGGGTGGCTTGGCCTTTGGTTTTTTTAAGGAGAGACATGGTCTACCGAGTGTCCTGGTTGCTCTATACTCTGACTGAGTGTATTCACCCATGCCAGGTGCTATATTTCCACTTGGGTCACAGTCAGGGTCAATGGCTGCATAGTTGTAGTAGCTTCTGCTACCCTTAAGACCACAGTCAAAGTGCATGGAGGAATAAAATCCTTCAGTGTCAACGATGTAGTGCATCTCAGATTTTCTAGCGGATGCTTGGTCACTGAAACTCTCGTAAGTTTCCCCACTTGAATAACTGGGGCAGCTGACACCACTCTCATCCTCTCTGGAATGCTTTGGGCTGAAGTCTTGGGGGCAGGGCTGATCCCGCTGGTCCTGGGTGCTGTTCCACTCACCATCACTAGCAGTACTGACCCCTGCATCATCCATCTGATCAGTAGCCGATGAGGTAAAAGAATTGGACCGCTGCCCCTGTCCTTGTGGCTTGTCAATGTGGTAGGGATCAATTATGAAGCCGGTGGTGTCATCAATGACATGGGATCCAGTATTGAGGGAGAGTTCTGAATCACAGTGTGAGGATCCAGTCAGGGGAGGAGAGGCAGCAGGCGGAAGAGTTTCAGACGTCTGCGATGGGCAAGTGGAGCTGCTTCCACTCCAGTTGCCGCTTGATGACTGGTGATCCTCTTTATGGTCCATCTGACTGCCTAGCACTCCTGAAGTGGAGGCAGAGTGGATGGGGCTGCTGAAAGTATCAGAGCTGGAGGAAATCTCACAGCTCCCCATGTCAACTTTGCGTGGGAGTCTAGATCTGCCTCTCTCAATCCATGTGTGGTCAGGGCTCTCCGAATGCTGCATGCGCTTGAGGCTTCCAAATTGAAGCTCTGGCATGGCCTGGTCATCAGTGCTCTCCTCCTCATCCTTCAGAATTCTCTGTCCTGGACCTGGTAAAAAGTCCTCAGCTTCATACGGAGAGAGTTCTTCATCTTCCTCTTCGTCATCTTCATCATCATCTTCTTCATCATCATCATCACTGTCATCTTGGTCCTCATCCAGAAGCCGGCCACCCTCACGTGGTAGACTTCTAGAACGGACACGAGTGGCTGATGCTGCAGCATACACAGTATCAGAGCGATCTGGCAGGGAGGTGATGTTTCCAGTGGAGTGTGAGAGAGAGGCTGGAATTCCCTGACACCTCTGGGCACGGATACGCCTCCGGGATGGAGCAGCAATCAAGAAGTCATCAGTCTGACAGCCAGAGTCCTTGGTGTTCAATACTCGGCCACACAAAGAGAGCTCCTCATGCCACAATGACTTGTGTGGGTTGGCATGGATGATCACTGTTCTCTCTCTAGCCACAGGTGATTCGTCAGAATCTACAGGGAAATCAGAAAACCAATAATTAAACTAAAAATATATGAAGATAGAATTGAAGAAAATGTGACATGCAGATTTTAAATGAAAACAATAAGCTGCTTTGATGAACTTGGACTTTAGATGTAAAGCATCAGTTGGTCATACCCATGTCTTGTTGAACTCGTTTGGGGATGCCAGTGATCGTTTTTCGCCTCCTGAGTTTCCGGCGTCTCTGTAGAACTGACTGTGAGTGAACAAGAGAGCAGCGAGCACTGGCTTCTCTGTCAAATCCAACACCTGTGAAGAAAAATAACAGTCTCAGAAGTAGTTAAGCCAATGTCATGGATTCCCTTAGTGGTAGAGGGTGATATATTCCACAGTATCAAATTATTTTTGATTTAATTTTACATACATATTGTTATAATACATGATGCAATATATTGTTGCCATTTTTAGTTTGTGTTGAATCTGAAGTAATGTTGCTTACCAGAAACATTTATTGGAATGATACAGGATGAAATCACTTGAGAGTCATTCTTTATTCTCTCTTCTGGCATGGGAAGAGGCAGGGCTTTGGACCAGTTGGTCTTTTTGTCCAGGGTGGTAGGTACATTGGGAACAGGACATTTAGGCCTATGGCTCATCACTGGCAATTCACCATCTGTTTCTGTGTTGGTTCCAGTCTAATATGAGATGATGTTAGAACTGTTAAGCTGTACTCAGAACAAGATTGACAATTTATGATCAAATTCACATACTGTAAACACACAGATAAATGTAAAGACAAAATTTTATCTACAGGATCACAAGTTTTATACAGTGGCCCCAAAAACCTTCAGACACTTTTGGAGTCATACTTAATGTATGGATTTCACTGCATTAGAAATATACAAAAAATATCCAAAATAACAAACCAAGTGGCAACTGATGCCTAAAGGGGCCAGTAACTTTTTGGTTACCTACATCCTTCAAAATATCTTCTTTTACATTCAAAACAAGAAAGAAATTCTAAGTCAAAGGCAAGTAAATGATTTCATTCTTGGGTGAACTACCCCTTTATTTTTTTCTCAAAACTAACTTAGTTTTTCAATGCAGACATTCATACATAAGTGAGGCTTAAGTGTCCAAATACTTTTTGGGACCAGCTGTATTAAGTAGACATCTACATACATACATGTATTGCCAAATTCCCATTTTTCTGTGTTGATAAGAAATGCAGCTTTGATTATGGAGACACACACAGAGAAAGGAAGAATAGACTAAAGAATCAAACATAGGCAAAGAGACAGCATGATTGTTTTTTCTATGGTTGCATGAAAATGTATAAAATAATGTATTTTAATGAAGGCCAGGTTGCACCCTAGGGAGTAAATAATCCAGAAAGGAAATCCTTGGAAAAATCATAAAACAAAATCTGTTTTACTCACACAAAAAGCAGTAGAATAGTATTCAATATTAAGCAAGAACTATAAGGAATGATCTTACCATATCAGAACTCTCTGTGATACTCCAAATGCAATATACCATACAAATATTTCAATATATCTCAATATAATGTAGCAAATTATACTGAGCTGTCCCACTTAACATGGTGCTATTTAACAAATCACATAAACGATCATTTATACAATAGCATACTCTTTAACTGATTCTGCTTATACAGTAAATGCAAACACATCCTTAAGAAGTCATTTACTTTATGATCATTAGGGTTTACTGTGATGATGTTATCAGCAATCCCAAATACATATCTTCTCAGATCCTTCGTAACTGCTACGTATCCTGCTAACTGGATGAATAATTTTCATCTCAAGGAAGTCTTGTTCTACAACTAATCATATTAAAACAAGAAGAAACTAGAGCTAGAGGTAATAAGTAGTCTTTAATGGGGCAAAATACCTTTCTAATCCAGGGAATGAAGTAACAACACTGAACAGGGGAGGAGGAACGGGAGCGCTGATACTAAAATTAAAAGATGGAAAACAGAGCTTAACAAATGACAAGAAAATGTGCTTGATAAACCAAAATAAATGTCTGATGTGATGTTTCTGAGAAGTCCATGGTGTGAGGGAAAAGGGGTGACATATACGCACACAAAACAACACAGACATATTCTCTTTTGGAACTGTTTTTTGTGAACAACCTTGAACACTGAGATGTTTGTGGTTCAAGTGTGCAACATACATGCTGAAATGAAAGGCTGTAATCTGATGGAGATGGAATTTACTAAATTGAATTGTTATGGAAGGATTTGAATCAATCTGGCACCCATACAAAAATTTTGGCAAAACCTGTACTTTGGTTAATAAAAAAAAGATAGAGGTCAGGAGCCCTGCTGTCAGATAAAAAAAAAAAAGAAAGAAAGATGTAATTTACCTTTCTGAGGACGGGTTTGAATTCAGCCTCTTTGGCTGGTCTCTCCTGCAGCAGTTAAATGCAATAAGCATAACTGATAAAGATCCCAGAATACCTTTGACCACCTTTAAAATCACACGTAGCTGCCCATTTTACACTTGTGCATTTTACTTTATGAAAATATGTAAAACATTTAAAGATGTAAAACAGAGTACATTATAAATAACATCAATTATAAATAACCTCCTCATTCCAAACACCTAGTATACTGGACATTTTTAAAAATATTTTATTGTTCTATGGCAACATTATGTTGTCAACTTTTAAGTGTTTCTACACAACTCATAGTTAATATTGATTGGTCTTATATAGAAAGAGTTTGTGGCTCATCTTATAAATAAAATCAGCATGTCAGAAAGAAACTCAACTCAACTTTGATATTTGTCATGTTCATTATTATGGAGTGTTACTATGATGACAAGTATACTGAACAAATTTCCAGTATACTGAACGTTCTGACTTAAGTTACACTTTTTGACACTTTAATGTAAAAATGCATTATAGGGCATGCATTATTATTACATAATTATTTAATCTATATTATTTAAAAAGGGGTCATATGATGCGATTTCAATTTTTCCTTTCTCTTTGGAGTGTTACAAGCTCTTGGTGCATAAAGAAGATCTGTAAAGTTGCAAAGACTAAAGTCTCAAATTCAAAGAGATATTCTTTATAAAAGTTAAGATTCAGCCACACCTATCTAAAATGGCTCGTTCTAACATGTCCCCACATACCTACGTCACTATCTGGGAAGATTTGCATAACGCCGCCCAAATGTTCACGCAAAGAAAGAAGTCGTAACTTTTATTCTCGCTGTAATTTTGTTGCCGCAGCCGCCATGTCGAGAAGGCGCTGTGTGCTTCCTTGTGAAAGCAAAACTACTTTGTTTGGCCTTCCAAAAGAGGACGATATCGCTTCGTCATGCCTAGAGCTGATCCTTGCTGGTCGCTGAGGAAATACTTCAACTTCGCTCTGTGGATCGCTGGATCGGCTTTCACTGTGGACGAAGCGGAGTCCAGCCCGGGTCGTCACATGTGGTTGCCGCAGGCATCACAGTTTGGTAAGGGACGTAACATTTCCGTCACACGCTTGAGGTATTCAGCCAATCACAACGCACTGGATAGCTGGCCAATCACAGCACACCTCGCTTTTTCAGATCGATGAGCTTTGTAAAAATCGACGCGTTTCAGAAAGGCGGGGCATAGAGGAGAAACAATAATGTACAGTATGTGGAAAATAATGTGTTTTTTTACACTTAAACCGCATAAACACATTTCATTACACCAAATACACAAAATAATGTTCTTTTTAGCAGCATCATATGACCCCTTTAACATGTTAAAATCAATATTTTACATGCAGTAAGCACAAGAAATCATGAAAATACTAGACACTGAACATATACAGTTGTGCTCATAAATTTACATGCCCCGCCTTGCAGAATATGCAAAATGTTAATCATTTAACAAATTAAGAGGGATCATGAAAATTGCGTGTTTATTTAATACTGTCCTGAATAAGCTATTTCACATAAAATATGTTTATATATTCTCCACAAAACAAAATAATAACTGAATTTATAAAAATTACCCCGTTCAAAAGTTTACATACCCGTGAATCTTAATACTGTGTGTCGTTTCCTGGATGAGCCTTTTTCTGAGGACAATTGGGGGACTCATACATAACTATTATAAAAGGTCAAAATATTTACTGATGCTCAAGATGGCAACACTGCATTAAGAGCTGGGGGTGTAAACTTTTTGAATTGGATTATCAGGGTAAATTGTACTTATTTTGTCTTCTGGGAAACATTTAAGTATTTATGTAGCTTCTTAAGTGCAATACCAAATGAAAAAAATATGATCTATAAACAAAATAAGAAAAATGTACACATCATCATCCTGTTCAAAAGTTTACACTCTTAATGCATTGTGTTGCCCTTTTGAGCATCAGTAAATGTTTCTACCTTTTGTAATAGATGTGTATGAGTCCCTCAATTGTCCTCCATGTGAAAAGATGGATCTCAAAATCATATAGTCACTGTTGGAAAGGGTTCAGATATGCAGAAGATGCTGGAAAACCAAAGAATGTGCAGGAGCTGGAGGATTTTTCTGATGAATAGCAGACAGTTGAACTGCTCAGGAACAATGAGGGACTCATCACAAAACAGGAAACAACACAGATTATTAAGATTCAAGAGTATGTAAACTTTTGAATGGGGTCATTTTTTATGAATTCAGTTATTATTTTGTCTTGTGGAGTATATATAAACATCTGTTATGTGAAACAGCTTATTCAGGAGAGTACTAAATAAAAATAACATGCAATCTTCATGATCCCTCTTATTTAGTTAAAATTATTAACATATTTGCATTACACTTTACTTGAAGGGGTGTGTCATGTAATGTGCCATTTAATATTGGTTTATTAACATTTCTATAATTACATGTTTTGTAATATTTCCTGTTCCAGAACTGAGAAAGTTAAAACAAAATAAATAAAAACCCTGAAACATGGCAAAATACATTTCAATGGGATGGTATCACAGAGAACGAGCACACAAATTAAACAAACAAACAAACCAAAATAAAAACTCTTTACCTTCCTCTGGATGTTTTGCACATCACTCTCTCTAACACTCCTCTCCTGGTGTGCATGACAGGAGAGAGCATGCTAGTTTAGGCCAAAAATATTTTTTGGTCTTATAACAGTTTATGTTTTAAGATAATCAAATCTGGTACTTCTGGTAAATCTGGTAAAAATCTGGGTACTGAAGCAAAACCAGCTGAGAACCACAGATTTTTGAACCTCCTCTACATGAGTGGAGATTAAATGTTGTGTTCTTCTTACCAGGCGTGAGTGCCGGCCCCTCTGCTCCCGCTTTCTGAGTTTGTGAGTTGAAGGGAAGGTTGGCATAGGCGGCGCCACAGATATTGATACGGTGACCCGACCCCGCTCTCTGCTGGTTGAACGCTGACGCTGCTGCTGGTCTGTAAAGTGCACACACACACACACACACACACACACACACACACACACATTCAGCTAGCTGAGCTATTTTAGTCTAAACTAAAGTATGAATTATAACACTTTCTGTTTTATAGAATTTACAGACTGCCAACTTCTAACTAAATTGTTCATGTGTAGTAGGCCTCTAATGAATTTTTTCCATACTAACAATGTACAATCAATGTTCTGGTCACATTTTATGTGTAACTGATGGAAGTAAAATTGATTCAAGGGGAAAATATAAATTATGCTATGATGGTTCACATTGAATTTGAGGCAATGCCAAATCAATTCATCATTCAAACACAAGGTGGCAGTATGAATCAGATTTTTACCAACAAACAAATGCATTTTAAGGTGGTGTGATATATTTTTTCTTTTTTAACCTTTTTTTTCTCATATACCAGCTTAATATAGACAGATATATAATTTTATATATCTACAACTTCAAACTCATTAATTTAGAACAGAATTTAATCAGGTATCTTACGGTTTGCCTTCAAAATATACTGAAAATTAAATAGATCTCAAAGCTGACATACAGCAAGATACAATGGGGAGATAAAATATGGTGATGTAACCCAATCTCTAAGGTCTGAGGTTTATTTCCAGGTAGACTCAGGAACCTGATAGATGTTTAGACAGATTCAGGACTACATAGAATCACTTTATTGATCCCTGAGGGGGAACTCCAGGATCATAATTCTCATCTATCCTGATCTGTCACTTCTCTACGCTGATCTATCACCATAGTGGCCCTGGGCAGACCACTAAACCACAGGGGGAGCTGCTGGTCTGTAAAGTACACACACACACACACACACACACACACATTCAGCTACACACACACACACACACACACACACACATTCAGCTAGCTGAGCTATTTTAGTCTAAACTGAAGTATGAATTATAACACTTTCTGTTTTATAGAATTTACAGACTGCCAACTTCTAACTAAATTGTTCATGTGTAGTAGGCCTCTAATGAATTTTTTCCATACTAACAATGTACAATCAATGTTCTGGTCACATTTTATGTGTAACTGATGGAAGTAAAATTGATTCAAGGGGAAAATATAAATTATGCTATGATGGTTCACATTGAACTTGAGGCAATGCCAAATCAATTCATCATTCAAACACAAGGTGGCAGTATGAATCAGATTTTTACCAACAAACAAATGCATTTTAAGGTGGTGTGATATATTTTTTCTTTTTTAACCTTTTTTTTCTCATATACCAGCTTAATATAGACAGATATATAATTTTATATATCTACAACTTCAAACTCATTAATTTAGAACAGAATTTAATCAGGTATCTTACGGTTTGCCTTCAAAATATACTGAAAATTAAATAGATCTCAAAGCTGACATACAGCAAGATACAATGGGGAGATAAAATATGGTGATGTAACCCAATCTCTAAGGTCTGAGGTTTATTTCCAGGTAGACTCAGGAACCTGATAGATGTTTAGACAGATTCAGGACTACATAGAATCACTTTATTGATCCCTGAGGGGGAACTCCAGGATCATAATTCTCATCTATCCTGATCTGTCACTTCTCTACGCTGATCTATCACCATAGTGGCCCTGGGCAGACCACTAAACCACAGGGGGAATTTGGTTACAACGGTTGTGATATAAGATATGTTTGGATGAAAAGAATCATAAAAATCAAACAGCACTGTGGTTTGGAACCAAAAAATGTGGGCCCAGAAGCCTGACTCTACTACCTCTGTGCAGTGCCCGCAGGTTGAGCTTGGCATGTCGGTGTAACTCTTCCAGACATTGTGGCCGTGTACAAGTGTGGAACAGGTTGCGTTGTTGATGCCATGGAGTCTGATAGTGTGATGTTAGTTTACTCTCAATGTCCAAATTTGATACGGCTAGAGAGAAAGACAAAGAAGTTACAAGGTCAGAAATCTGGAATATGTACAGGATTTCTATTAAAACATCAATTAAATAAGAATCCACTAGAATAGAATAAGGTCCTACTGGACAGAATGAAATTCCTACATGATGTTTTTAATGCTTATTTGATTCTTTTGAATATTACATAATCTTTATCATAGCCCGTTGTAGTTGTAATAAACTCACTCTTGCTATTGGTCAGTTAATGGAAATCACAAAGGACCTACAGAAGTTTAAAAATCCTGAAAGATTTATTTTTATTTATTTTATGTTCTAATAAGGGAACTATGTATTTTAAAAGAACTACATTATTTTGTTTTATGTTGGAATCCTGTGAGGACATTCTCAGGAGAAACCTTCAGAATAGGTTCCAAATTATGTAAATCCAAAAAAGGAATACTTTATAAATCAATGAATAGGAATATACACTACCATTCAAAAGTTTGAAAGAAACAAGTACTTTTATTCAACAAGGATGCATTAAATTTATATATATAAAAATTATAGCACAATCAGCATATTAGAATGATGTCTGAAGGATCATGTGACACTGAAGACTGGATGCTTCTGAAAATTCAGCTTTGCCATCACAGGAATAAATGAAATAAATAAATAAAATTACATTTTAAAATATTACATTAAATTGTAATAATATTTCTGAATACTACTGTATTTTTCACCAAATGATTTTTATCAAAGGATGCAGCCTGGGTTTAAGAAACTTTCAAAAACATTTAAAAAATCTTATCAAACGCCAAATTTTGAGCAGCAGTGCAAGTTTCCATATTCATTCAACTGTAACAATATTATGCATTACAAGACAACAAATGGCATTCTAGGGAGAAGAAGGTGAAAGACAGCTTCATTAGTATTTCTCCCTCTATCTTTTTCTCTTTTCCCCAGCTTCCTGTCTCCTCCTCTCCTCTATAAAGGAGCATCTGCCCATCAGTATTCAATGCGCAGTGGTCCCCTTGAACTACCCAGAGTCATCTGTATCCAAGCAACCCTTCATATCTAATTTACAACGAATTAGCAGATCCTTATCAGGCCGTGATCAGCAGAATAATACCAGAAATGCATTTCCTGTCTTAGAAGACCTCAGAAAGAAGGGTGGAGGGTTGATGATGATGGACGCTTAGAAAAACACTGGATTTTATAGAAACAAACACTTTGTTGTATGTAATTGGAACAAAAGCCATATTACTCTAAGGATAATACAAAACAGAAGTGGCTCCTCAAGTAAGGGTCTGGGAATATTTTTTTCTTAGGCTCTGGTACATTAAAGGGAGACTGCAAAGGGGTCTTACATTTCTGAAAGCCATGGCTAAATATGAAGCAGACAATTCAGACTGACAGTCAGAAAGGAAACATTTTAGTGCTTATTAACCATGAGGTAAACCAAGACAATAGCCAAGTCTATTGGTTTGAGAGATGAATACATACAAGGCCAAACACATACACACACACACACACACATACACACACACACACACACACACACACACACACACACACGAGGGCATTTGGTAATCCGATACAAGCCTCTTCTATAACCTTAAGCCTGACCACAACCAGAGAACCATTAAAATGAACAATGTTTTGAGTGGTTTTACTCAAGAATGATAATCTGATACTCACTTTTTGCACTGTTAAATGTCCTTCTATGTTCAGTGTTAACTTGCACTGATGAATGAGACAGCTGGAGACTAAATGTTAGGAATGAGAACAAGTATCCATAAATTTGCACAGTGGACACAGTACTTACACAATTAAGCTAGACTTAAAAATAAATGAATTGCATTGCATGAGATATCATACTACTTTGCATCTGTAAATAAAGGATGCAAAATTAACTTTATTAATATTTTAGACATTTTTACATTAACTTTAAACCAATTTCTAATCAACAGGTAAAAGAATAAAGAAAATTGTTCTATATAAAGAGAAATCAAATGTCTTTGGAATATGGGAAATTAAGTTAATCACTGTAGTTCTCTTAAAGACAACTGATTGACACTTTACTGATGGATTCAGACCTCAGCCAGTGTGAGGAATTTAAATCAGAATTTCATGCTTCAACAAAAAAGTCTAGACTAATACTTTCAGGTCTCTGGGAGTGGGCCAGTTTTTGTTTTTACTTCAGCTACTTAAACACCTTATTAAATATCCTTAGTGATTTTAATCAATACCGGATATCCTCTGACTTTAAACCAGTAAAGTTACAGATAAAAGCCCAAATTAGTGCAGTGTAAGTGCAGACTGATAAACATAATATGGGTGATATTGTTCAAAAGTTTGAGGTTGGTGAATTTTTTTAGTTTTTGTCTCTTATGCTCACCAAGGCTGAATTTATTTGATCAAAAATACAGTAAAACAGAAATATTGTGAAATATTATTACAATATAAAATACATGTTTTCTACTTTGATCAATTTTAAAATGTAATTTATTCCTGTGGTGTTAGAGCTGAATTTTCAGCAGCCATTACTCCAGTCTTCTTTTTCACATAAATAATTTTTATATGTCGGTGCTCAAAAATCATTTATTATTATCATAAACAGTCTGCCTAAAAGAACAGTATATATTTGAAAAAAGAAATAGTCACTTTTGACTGATTAAAAGTAATAATTTCTCAAATAAAAGTAATAATAAACTCACTGGCCCCAAACATTTGAACTAATATAATAATATAATATAAAATAATATAATATAATATAATATAATATAATATAATATAATATAATACAATATAATATAATATAATATAATATAATAAAAAACAATATAATGTAAAATAAGATTTTCGAGTAAATGTCTAAAAGACACTAATGAAAGTTTTTCCAAAAGGTAAAAAACTCAATATCAGTAACAATGTTACTATCAAAATTATGCTACTATCAAAGCATCAGCGGTAGCCTTCAAAAAGAAAGCAATCCCAGAATGCACTGTAACAACGTTAGTGAAAAAAAATCCAAGATGGAGTACAAGGTGAGAGAAACACTGATGGCAGTAAATGTATATTTCATTAAACATCTGCTCTGGAAATAATTGTCGAGTTAGTGTTTTGATGAAAGCCCTACCCTCATCTGCCCTCCCTCCATTTGGACTTGTGCTGTAATGATGTGCGAATGCAGTGAACAGACTCTATTACTCAGCACCGCTCTGCTGTTTCTTTCGTTTTTGCCCCGCATTATTAAGTACTGATCCTTATGCGGCACATATAGGTGATCTCTACATGCATGCGTCTTAATCACTCCCTCTGCACTTGGAAATTTCGGTCATCTACTGCAAATTAATTCAGCCAAAGATAAAGTATGCTTTGTATATATATATAATCTGAGACTCTTATTATGTCATGAGTCACAGTTTATGCACATAGAAACATTTTCAAATTTTTGGGGATTTCATGCATTTCTTCAATGTACATGTCAAAATTTTAATCAAAGAAACATCAAAAGTCTCAATGTTCTGTTCAGTGGCATTGAAAACCGCAGTTACAGGAGAGTTCGATTCACGTAAAGAGGTCAGTGCTTAGTAAGACAGCATTACACTGCAGTATAATTGCACCAGAATGCAAAGTAAATGAGTTAAAACTTTAAAATGATGGTCATATGTATTCTCGTTCATTGACTACTGCATTCACCTCTGCAGGGAACCTAGATCACTATCCTTGTTTGAAATCTATTCATCTTACCTGTTGTGCCTGCTCTCTGGCCTGCGTTTTTACTAGCCCTCTTTGTTCTCCTCCTCTTTTTCAAGCCACAGCCAGGTATCTTTCTCTGAGAGTTTCCCATCTTTCCCTGGACTGCTCACACAGAATGAAGGAATGAAGGATTCTGCTAGCACTACAGCAAGACTGGGAGAGCTGCTCTCTCTCTCCTTTTCTTTCTTTCTGTCTCCAGCAGGTGCACAGTCAGCACTGTGAGTCAGGACTCTGCCAGCAGCAAGGCAAAGAAAAGTACTGACAAATGTCTAATTAGTAGTACAGAAGGGCAATAAAGAAAGAAAAAATGAAACTACCAAAATATACAGGTGGAAGAAAATTTCACACCACAATCTGACATCAACATGATATCACTATTTTGGATTAAGAACTATAGAAATGTTGGCCACTACCAATAACTGTTAATAGTTTATATCATATACATACAGTATCTATACTGTATATACACACTACTGTTTGGTATGAAACATTATTATGATTTAAACTTAACTTTTTAAAACATATTTTATAAATGTAAATTATTCCTGTGAATTTTCAGCAGCCATTACTCCAGTATTCTTACATGATCCTTCAGAAATCATAATAAGAAATAAAATTATAATAAGACTAGAATAATATGCTGGTTTGCCGCTTAAGAAACTTCAAAAGAAAGGCATTTATTTGAAATCCTTACTTTCACTTTTGATCAATTTAATACATCCTTGCTGAATTAAAGTATTAATTTCTTATTAAAAATTAATAAATATAGCTTTTAAATGACAGTGTACTGGCCAATATTGTATTATAAAATAAAAATGCCCCCCATAAAAGTCCAACTCTTTAACATGCTTCACAACACAAACATTTAACAAATATAGGCCTATAATGACCCTATAATTGGAATAAATAAATTATACATGCCTATTACATTCATAGTACAACTATGCAAAGTAAAGAAAAATAAATATTCACTTCTATTGAGAATAAACTGAGAAATCAAAATAGCAAAATTAAGGACCCAGTTACAAACCACACACTCAAACTATAAAGCCAATGTAATTCAGTTTATGGAGTTTCTCATTCCATTCACAAATATCCAAAGCAAAAGTACAGATTTTCACGCTACGCAAATCATCAGTTACAGTTCTTCTTTTAATAATACAGATGCTCTAGTCATTAACAGTCACAGAGCTGCACAGTTGAATCTAGGTCAAGCTTGCCTAGCAGAGCTCAGAGAAAGACATTGCTGGGGAAAATCAAATAGGGGATTTAT